GTTCCCTTTGATTCCTCTGTTGTTTTGTTGCGGTCGGACTTGTTGTCAGGGATTTGGGATTTCAAGGTGTTACAAATGGATTGGTGGTGTTTTTGCTTGCAATGTCTACAACCCTTGGAGCTTTGGCAATTAGAAACGCGATGACCAATTCTAAGACAGTTAAAACATCGATTGGTATTCCGAAGAATATCTTGTCGCTTTTCTGGATCAGTAACCTTCGTACAGGATGCGGAATAATGAAGTTCCTTACAATAAGCACAGCGAACAGTATAATTCTGGTCGTCTTTCGATAAGAAGGATCTGGCAGTCGGTTTATGTCCCTGCCATTTACTACCCTGTTGTCGTACGTGTTCATCAGCTTTGATTCTTTCAGACGCCTCTCTCGCTTCTACTTCTTTCTTAATAATACCTAACAGTTCGTCAATTTTCCATACATCTTGTGTTGAGTTTCGTGCAATTTGAAGACGAATTTCATTTGGCAACTTAGACATGATGACAGGAATTAACAAACTGCCATATTGATCAGCAGAAATACCCAGAGTTGCTAATCCCCTTGTATGCACGCTTATCTTATCGTAAACTAACCTCAGAGTGTCTAACTTGTCACTTGTACAGCTTGGGATCTTTAACAGTTCGTCCATATGTGCACTCACAATTTGTTGTCGTTTTCCAAAGGGTTCTTCCGATATCTTTATTGCAGTCTCATAATTGTCATTAGTCAAAGTTAGTCCTTGTATTGCTCGAGCTGCTGGGCCTTCGATTAATGACTTTAGGTAGTTGAACTTGTCGATGTTGGCAATGTCAGTATTGGTATGTATGGCAGAATTAAACGAGTCCCAAAATGTGTTCCATTTGGTCACTTCTCCATTAAACCGAGGCAACGTGATCTTTGGCAGCCTTGGCTTAGTTGCAGAATTCGAATGTTGCTGATTAACTTGTGTAGATTGTAAATTCATAGAATGTTGTTGTTCCACATTTGTGTTTGGAAGTTCAACCGTAGCTGTAGATTCTTGTTGTTGCCCTTCGACTGTTTGAATTACGTCGTTAATTACGTGTTGATTTTCGCTACTTCCGGTTGGTTGAGTTTCGCTACTTCCGGTTGGTTGAGTTTCAATACTTCCGGTTGATTGAGTTTCGATGTTGTTAATTTTACTATGAACTTTGTCGCCATTTTTTAAGATCGTTTCTATTTTCTTTCGTTTAGATAGGATTCGGTCGTTTATTTCTTCTGATTCCTCGATTTCGTGCGTTATTTCTTCGACATCGCAAAGTAATAAGATGCTTTCGTTTAATTCGTTGAGTAATTTTAGTTTATCTCGTAAGTGTTGATCTATGACTTGAATTCTTTCGTAATCGTAGCTTTCTGCTTCACAAATTTCATCAATTTCTTTAACTAATCGTATCACGAATGCTCGATAACCCTGTCGTCTCATTTGTAATCGTTTAAGTTTCAATTTCTCTTCGTTTTCTGTTGACATCGTTGAAAATCGTTGTTACTATTGATCGATATAACTCTCGTTGTATAAACAATGCTTCTCGTCTGTCGATAATTTTCGTTGCAATCGCGTTTATTCCTCGGCTTTAATCGTTGTTTTAATCGTTAAACTGAACGGGCTTTTTCTAGTTGTATAAACAATGCTTCTCGTCTGTCGATAATTTTCGTTGCAATCGCGTTTATTCCTCGGCTTTAATCGTTGTTTTAATCGTTAAACTGAACGGGCTTTTTCACGTTGGGCGCCATGTATTGAATATCGTAATTATTTCTATAATTTCTTGAACATTTGGTATAAAATATGAACGTAAAACTCTATACAAAAAACTATAAATCGTATCGTGTTCGAGCTTGCGAGTCGTATCGTGTTCGAGCTATAAATCGTATGACCTTTGTCTCTATAGCAACAGTTCTGCTATTGGTTGGCATAAATTAAGTCAACATAAATTAAATTAAATTTAAATGTTTATCACAACTCCGTCCCTACGCTAGAGCTTCGAAACTAATGCGGTATGCAAAATAATAAACCTTCTTTTCTCCCTTCTTGTCTTGAGATTTTGCTGTAGTTGGAGGCTCTCCTTTGCCAGCCTTTTTGCCTCCAGGTTTCTTTGTTTCATTTCCACTTTCTGAACCTAAAACACACATTTTAGATTTATTTCGTTTGCTGCATGTTTCTGTAGCTCGTGCACACACGTAACAGGATGTGTTCGTAACAAGCTTGTGACAAGCTTGTCAACGAGTTGTAGCAATGCTGTTATTTTATCAAGTTGTTACAAGCTTGTCACTCATAACCTGTTGACAAATTGTTAATGGACCTTTCCCCTTATAACTAAAATTGTGATCTAGACAAAAATTTCATCACAGCTTGAAAGAGCATCGCGAAATTAGTAATATTCCAAAGTTTCGTTGCGAAATGTTGTAAAATGCGGATAATATAGCCTTGCGAAGTTTGCCGTTTTTCAGTCATTTTGTATTACGCATGGGAAATTGACAGCCCAATCGGGTGTTGGGGCATCAATTTTCCGTTTGTAATACAAAATGACTGAAAATTGCAAATTTCGCAGGGCTATATTATCCGCATTTTACAACATTTCGCAACGAAACCTCGGAATATTACTAATTTTGTGATGCTCTTTCAAGCTGTGATGACATTTTTGTCTAGACTTGTCTAGATCAAAATTTTAGTTATAAGGGGAAAGGTCCATTAATGTTAGACTACATGGTATTAGACTGAAGGATGCATCGTTGAGTAATTTACTAGCATGCCATCTAGTGAGCATGCATGGCCGCCTAACTCATCACATGGTCTGAGACAGAGAGGTTTACAACCAAGTTAGTACCTAGTTAGGTACTAAGGGTTAGTTTCTAGTAAATCCCTCTCCTTGGCATACAGTATAGGAGGCGTAGATTATCGTTATTTAAAATAAGTCTGATACCTGAAACTTCAGTGCTATGAAAACGATGATAATGCATTTGTAAAGATAAATCTCTGGCCAGACACTGCGCTGGAGAATTTTTCAACACTGACAAAGACTCCAAGGGAAGACGAAGAAGATATTCATCAGCAAAGATAACAACTGTTTCTGGAATGACCTTTTCACTATTCAAGGAAACAACATAAGTATGGTTACTGACACAAAACAAATAGAAATTCTCCGATCCGAGTTCGCGTTATTGATTTCTCATTTTCATATTTGGCAGAAATGGACTCCAGAATTGAAATGTTCATGCTCAAATAGACCTTTCCGGTAATTACGTCACGACTAACACTGTTTTCAACTTAAGGTGGCTCGATACAGTTTTCAAAAATTCAGGTGTTCAACACTTTGAAATGTTCAAACTATGCATTTTTAGAATATATTCAGCAGATATTGGGTTTTTTATATATTTCGATATCTCTACTTTCAAATTATATTAGTTTTAGTAATATAATTTAGTTCGTTGCTATGACGACATACGTGTACAAAATACACTCCAAAATGGCCTTTCGTCTCGTATAGTTGGAAAAGAAGCATGGTGACCCCCAATTTTTTTTCTTGCATTATTGTACTTGGACGAAAAGCTAACAATTAGCAAAATATAAAAAAATTCTGTAATGCCATTTTTTTGGAAAATGCGAAAATGTCATATTCTTCGGTAAAATTCTTTTGGCATTACAGAATATTTTTATTTTTTGTATAATGAAAGTTTTTAGCGGTGCAATACAGCATGCAAAATTTGAACATAGGTCACCAGACAAAATAAAGAGATATAGCGCATTGTTTTTCTAAAATGGAAAATTCTAATGACGTCAGCAATTGACATAAAACGCTATATAGAACACGCGAAATGACGTGAGATGGCGCGAGCAGCTGCTTACGTCAGGTCATTTTGGAAGTTCTGTCATTTTGTTAATCAGTTTCCGCGACCTGCGCGTAAAAATGGTCACCCGGTTTTGAATTCGCGATTCTTGAGCAGGGTTTTCGTGATAACTATATCGAGCCACCTTAAGACCACCTTAAATGGAATGGATTTTAAGTTTGTTTCTCACGGGCTATGGTCAGAGGAGCAGAACATCCTTCTTCAACACATGCATAAAAAGAATTTTGGATTTTGACCAATAAATGTGGAAATAAGCTAATACACGAAAACGAGTCTGAGGGGCCAAGAGGGGCTAAATTATTAGAGGACCAGTATTCAAAATGGTTGTTATTTACTCCGACTCCTATGGTGAACTGTATATACGTAATAAACTATGGAAACTACGATTATAGGAACTAAAAAAGGTGAAATATTTTGTGGGATACGATAAAGGCGAGAGATTGAAAATGAGTAGGAAAGTGTTAAAAAATTGGGGTTGCCTCTTGTCACATATTTTCAGTTTGAGGCCGCCCCAATTCAGGAAAAAATAGTTGAAGCCGCCCCCCTTTTCTCACCCACCGCCCCCCTCCCATTATGACCGGTCCCTTACAGGAAAGGTCTATTAGTCTATATCGAAAATTTCATGATGTTTGGACATTCAGGGCGTTTTGAAACTTTTGTTTTTACTACACATTTGACTGGAATTTCAGTCATGAAATTTTTGGTGTAGACTAATTTGAGCATGAAGATTTCAATTCTGAGGTCCATGTTTGGCAAAGATCTGCAGATCGTGAGATAAAAAATTGATGACGCCAACTTGGATTGGACAAAATAAATAAAGACGTCCATATTAACCTCTTCAATCCAAATGCAATCCTAATCCCAACCAACCCTAATCCCGACTCAAATACTAATGCTAACTCCAACTCTAATCCTTGATCCTAACTTTAATCCTTGTGACGTCATTTTGGGATGATAATAATATGGAAAGTCAAGCGACTCATTAAAATTATAGTTATAACTATATATATCATAGAGTTAAGCAATAGCATAGCAATATAGTCGAGGTTCAAAATTGCAATATTTACTTCAGAGCAGGCATGAGTTGTTCCAGTACAGGAGATAAGTAAGATTCCATTGCATTGACGAAGGATACATATTGTTTCTGAAATATTGAAATAATGACAAATTACGAATACATCACAATCCATCATATTACAATTCATCACCATAATCACGAAATTTAAACCCTAGATAAAAAGAATCGTCATAAACGAAGATTTCAATAAAGCCTTCTTTTCATCTTCACCCGTATCGTACCGAAATGTAGCGTATTTCTTTGTTTTGGGAGCACTTTAGAGCAGCACGGTTAACTTGGACACAAAAATAATTCTTACGGTACGTCAGGATGCGGTGGCTGAGGATTTTAAGGAGTTGATTAGTATTGGCGCAGACAAGTTTTTCACACCCTAATTTGAAGTGCGACCAACCCCAAATATTATTTTTTGTATGTGTAGTATTTGGGTCATTTTAAATATCTTTATAGTAAAAAAAACTCATCTTGATAAACCTTTTCACTGTCAATGATTCCGGATATGTCATTAGATGAATTGCAAATTAGTTTTCATTTGTTTTTTGGTCCAAAAATTCACCTAATAATATTATATCCAGACATTTTGACAGTGAAAAAGTTGATCAAGATGAGGCTTTTTAATATAAAGATATATTACATTTCTTCTTAGAATGACCCAAATATTACGCACACCAGAAAAATCATATTTGGGGTTAGTTGCACTTTAAAACCACCGTTTGAAGTGGAGACAGACTTTAAACTGTTCGTGTTTCCACTTTACCTGAAGGCTGTCTTCTTTTTCTTTTACCGTCAGATCGTTGTGAAGAACGTCCTATAGACAACAATGCACATGCTTTATTGATGTTAAACCCGAGCCCCAGACCCTTTCCCCGGGGGGAGGGACCATACCTTATTTCTATCCAAACAATCATCATCAACATTAACCAACATGCTTTGTGTCTCCTCCACGTGACGTCGTAAATAATTTTGTCGAATCAATTCCGTCGCTTGTTCACCCCGGAATGTTTCGAACATTTGTAATAACTCGTTCAAATCATCTGGGTTCACTTTGCTCCGACATGTCAACGCTTTAGGAGCAGGGGCTGAAACAAGATTTAAAACATGAACATTGTAAGTCTCGCGAATAATTCATGAAAAACACACAAGAAATCATGACCGTCAAGGAGTTTGTAATGATATCGTATTTTAAACTTAACCCTAATTCTAACCCTTACTCTAATCCTAACCCTACTCTTAATCCTATCACTTTCCCTAACCCTTCCCCCAAAACGTGATTCATGTGGTAAAAAAGGCAACTTGCTGCCCCAGTACTGTTTGGGTAACGGGAGCAGCTGCCCCCCTGCCCCTTTCCGGCGCCCCTGTCACAAAACTTAACAATACTATATTCACCTGGATTAACAGTTCCTTGTTTTCCTGGCTTTGCGCTGGGGAGGCCTGAACGTGGTTTATCGAGAGCAGCAGCATAGAGATACGTTCTAAAATAAATAATATATTTGCTTGCGAATAGGAATTTTATGCCTGCCGTCTTGGTATTATTAGCGATAAGGAATTAAATAGCTTAAGATAAGGAGTGCATGAAACTGTGCCTCTTAATTAATTGGATCTGATCAAATGCGCAAATTACGCTTAAGATAACAGAGTAGCTGTAAGCAAATATTTTAAGACAAGATGAAACATTTTGACAATGGATGATTCCAGCTAAATGGATGATTCCAGCCAGACTACATTTTGATCTAGGCAAGAAGAACAAAATCCATCACCACAGCTAGGAAGAGCATGTTAAAGTTAGTAAAATTGCAAAGTTTGGCCGCGAATTGTTGTAAAATGCGGAAAATATGGCCCTACGAAATTTGCAAATTTTGTATAATTTGTACTACGCGCGGGAAAATGCACCACATTTGGGCCAAAAGGATTTATCGAACTTTAGTTATACCTGACGGCAGATATAAATGTAATAATGTAACGTAAATAACAATACCCCTAAATCTCTATTTAACCTCATGGGGCCGGTTGTTCCAAAGCCGATAAGATTAACCTTTGGTTAATCTAAACTTCAAAGCAAACTTTCCAACAGAGTTTTCTTTTCTGAGGTTTTGAAATTCAACAGGGACCGGTTGTATAAAAAAGTGATTAAAGTTAACTATGGTTAAGTGCAAACGTCATCCAATAAGAAGCGCCTATTTGAGAGTTATCACTATTTAACTACAAAATAGTGATTAAAAAAGTGATTAAGAGTTTTGTACAACCGGCCCCTGACGTGCAGAAATACATGGGTTAGCGTTAATCCAGCTTTAAACAACTGTCCCCGGAGGATTGATTTATTTCAGGCAAGTTTGAGGTGCTTAATAGAGAGGGGGTGTATTGATTTAGTCGAAACACAGCAAGTAACATAGTGAATTAAAGGCCCGCATACACTTGCAATTTTTTGCTGCAATTTCCAGTGTGATTTTCTTCTTCTGAAGCATGTGAACGAGAAGATGAGTTATGAATGTTCTGAGTGTATGTACCCTCATCTGGACATTCATAACTCATTCACATGCAAATTGCACGTGTAAACGGGCGTTAAGGTTACAGAACACCTTTGAGTGTTAATTTTGCCTAAATTTTTTTTATTGGTTTCCATGAAAGCATTAGACTAGTTCTACTATCTGACCAAGTTTGGACGAAAAATGTTGAAAACTCGCAGAGTTATTTAATAAAATACATTTCGCTGCAATAAGAAAAACATTGAAAATGTAATATTCAAATTCAATTTTCTCCCGAAAAATTTTACGGTAATTACTGATTTTCAAACGAGTTGTGCTCCTGCGGGTTTTAACCAATTTTTCTCAAATTTTCACAGGACATAGCTAAAGACGTCGGTTTCAAAATTGTGTTCGGCTTTTTTTTAATTTTGGATATTTTAATAATAAAGAGCAATTCACTCAAACAATTCAGAAATATATTGCAGTCGTCAAAGAAATCGCCATATCAGCGGAATGACGAAATAAACAAAAATTTCCGAACACAATTTTTTAGAACAACTATTTTACTGTATAAAAATGATATTTTCATAAATATAACTTAAAACCAGCAGGAGCACAACTCAAAAGCGTAACGGTACCGCGATTTAAGATTTTCCTGAATAATTCTTACATTATTTTATTGTTTGTTAATTTTACAACTTTACCATATTTTGCATGCACTGGAGAACATTTGGTGAAAATTTGATTAAAATCGGACTGATATTGAGCGCGCAGTAGCGATTTTCCGCAAAACGCCAAAAAGGGTGTCCTGTAACCTTAACGTGAACGGCAAATGCAAGGTGGGAAACGAGGATAATACAGAGAATACGTTTGTTCCTCTCCGAAGGGAGGGTTATTAGACAGGGAGAATATTTGAGAGTGTGGCTCCAGAAGTAGAAGCTTATTAGACGGGGGGGACTCACTTATCTTTGGAATGTTGGAGAACCAGATACAGGGTACCAGGACTGGATAATTCCTTTGCAAGATCGAGATGATTCTTTGAGATACTTAAACGACGCCAAGTCTGAAGGAAGAAAAACAACATTGCAATGTCTACATATATTCACACCCTCAATATTCCCTGACATGACCCTCAACCAAATTGCTGCATGAAATTACCTCAAATTCTCCCAAAGTTTGAGTTGTTGAAGCGAGAACCGAGGACACAGTATCTTGATGAAGAAATTTCCTGGCTAAAATATCTCTCTGTTTCATGATAGCAGCAAGACGAGATAAAGAACTATCTGTTTGAATGCTCTTCACAAGTGAATGCAACGTTTGTGCCATTGAACAACTCTGGAAAACATATATTATAGTAATTAGTCAGATAGGACACATACATATCTCTACAGGACTTTACGCAGATGACACCAAACTCTACAGGAACGTATCAACTATCGGTGACTGTGAGAAATTACAAGACGCTTTAACAGAACTTGGTTCTTGGAGTTATCAAAATAACATGAACTTTAATGCGTCAAAGTGCAAAGTTCTGTCCATAACACGCAAGGTCAATCCATTGCATTTTCAGTACCATATGGATTCTACTAAGTTACTTCGAGTAAACGAAGAAAAAGATCTCGGGGTGATCATTACCGAGAATTTGTCATGGGAATCACATCTTACCTGCATTTGTGCGAAAGCTAACAAATTACTCGGTCTATTAAAGCGAACATGTATTTCAATTATTGACAGTAGTGTTCGAAAGACTCTCTATTTGACGTTGGTTAGGTCCAAGTTAAGTTATGCGACTGAGGTTTGGTCTCCAGCAAGTTCCTTATTGAAACAAAAGGCTGAGAAGATTCAGAGACGTGCTACGAGATGGATCTTGCGCGTCAAAGCCGGTGAACTATCCTACAAAGAGAGACTTCAGCAACTGGATATGCTCCCTCTTGCGTATGATCGCGAGGTCAAAGACTTAGTATTTTTTTATAAGGCTGTGAACGGATATATTGACATTGATGTCTCAAATTTTGTTAACTTTGTCAATCATGGACGGACACGTAGAGCATTGAGATCCAAATACTTAGAAACTCCGTTGTGTAAAACTTGTACGTACAGTTCGTCGTATTTTAATCGTGTTGTCAAATTATGGAACAGTGTTTGTGTCTCGATTGATCCTTCCAGTTTTACATCGCCATCGTCTTTCAAACTATACCTCAAGATGAGGTATAAGAATATTCTGGAACTAGTATTTGATCCGGACATGACTTGCACCTGGTCACTTAAACGTGATTGTGGTTGTCACAAATAATAAACTAACTTAACTAATCAAATTAATGTGCATGCATTATATTAATATTTATTTATTAAGTAAATATGTTATACAGGGTGCCCCAGAGGGGACCAAAGCTGTTGAGATGGCGTGTTGCTTGGGAATTGAATTGCCTTAGCACTCTGCTGAACCTATAAATGCATAAAAGCTTGACAAAAGTAAATTTTACGAATAAAGAAACTGTTTAAGAAGTTGCTTTAAATTCCAAAGAGCAGATAATCATGAGCTTACAAAGATATTTTAATTTCTTCAATACTCATATTATATGCATCATGTCGATCATATTTACGTATCTTTGCGTTCAGTTGGTGCTGGGCCGTTCGAATTCTGGCAGTGCGTTGTTTCAGTGGGGTTTTTTTTTTTGGGACACCCTGTACTGTATACTGTGAATTAATTAAAAGGTTTATGTTAGGAAAAGGAGGGGCACCATGCAATGGACTTTACGTCCAGTTTGTGCCTTGTCCGTTTGAGTACAGCTCTTAATTGTATGTTAGATAAATAATTGTTGAATTAATTTGTACTCAATAAAGTTTAACAAACAATACATGAATATATATTTATACGAGTGTAATATTCAGCTCTTCTCACTAGTTGAAGCTAGGAAAGAGGTCTTTAAAATGGTCGATACAGACATAATACGTCTTAATTTCTCTTTCAAAACACTTTTCAAATATGTGCAATATACATCAGTCGAAAATATTTCAAATCTAAAACATTAAAATAAAAAAATATGACGGTATAAAATATATATTCGCTACTAAACATGAACATGTCAATGAGAAAAGCAAGGGTCAGAAATTTCTTCATTACCTGGTATAAAGCTAAATAGGAATTGGAAGTTGACATATCATGTCGACCAATGATATCCACGAGGAGATAACTGCCTTCTGATACAATTTCCTAAAAAAAAGGAAGGACCACATCCTGTATGTTAGCACTATCGTGTGGTAGATGGTGGTCAGCCACCAGTTATCAGAACGAGAGATTTCATGAATATGGTATATAGTCTTGTATTTGGAAGCAACTGAATAAGGTAGAGAGACTTATAACTAGGGTTTCCAATAGAATTTGGAGTAGCAGGTATCGCGTACTTATGTACTGGAGGTATACGACAGTAGAGAGGTTCAGGTTTGACTACAACTACCTCTCACTCGCTTCATACGCATCTGATTGGTTAATGGGATGTATCAAACGTATCTGATTGGTTAATAGGATATATCAAACGTATCTGATTGGTTAATATAGGATATATCAAACGTATCTGATTGGTTAATAGGATATATCAAACGTATCTGATTGGTTAATAGGATATATCAAACGTATCTGATTGGTTAATAGGATGTATCAAACGTATCTGATTGGTTAATAGGATATATCAAACATATATGATTGGTTAATAGGATATATCAAACGTACCTGATTGGTTAATAGGATCTATCAAACATATATGATTGGTTAATAGGATATATCAAACGTATCTGATTGGTTAATAGGATGTATCAAACGTATCTGATTGGATAATGGTCCCGTAATGGTAGCGGTATTGGACGTCAAATCTGAACCTGTCTAACATTACGGTCTCGTATTTTTGTTTTCAGATAGGCAGTTTATCTGAAGGTAGCGTTCCAGTTATATATTCATTTCAATGCTTACATTATATCCATGCTTTAGGGCAAGTTGCACACACTGAGTGAGACATTCCACAGCCTGAGTGATAGTTTGCTGACAATCTTTGTATTCAAACTAAAATATCAACAAAACGAATATTTTGTTCTGCAGTAAGTTGTCGTGGTTGTATGTGAACTACCTGTCAGGGAATTAATTTAACTTCGGTTAATATAACCAGCACATGTGGTGACGTGGTCACCACACTTGCATTCCAAGCTGGGAGACCAGGGTTCAATCCTTGGTCGGACCTCTACCCAAGGTCCAGGGGCGTAGGAACCGGGGGGGGGGCAGGGGGGCCTGGCCCCCCAAGATTTGCCAAGTGCCCTCCCTTTTTTCGAGAGCAAAGAGCAAAGTGTCCTTTTCTTGCGTGAAGAATGTAATTAAGATTGCATTTTATGCCCAAAGGGCACTTTTGAAAACTTGAATCTATGTTATTTCCGGAAAATTTTTTTCATTTCGGGGAAAAATATCGTATATCCGGAAAATTTTGTGGTATATCCGGAAAATTTTTTTCATATTTAGGAGAAAATGTGGTATATCCGGAAAATTTTTTTTGGTATGTCCGGAAAATTTTTTTGAGATAACTCCCCCCCGTCGCCAACATTTCCGGGAAAAAAATTTTAGATGCCCTTTTTTATTCGAAAAGTGCCCTCAAAGCTTGCCCCCAACTTTTAGAAGCTTCCTACGCCCCTGTCAAGGTCTTCATATAACTTAGGAGAAAGAGCAGGGATCAATATAACGGTCGGCCACCGGCCATTAGCCGAGCAAAATGCTGATATGGCCGTGCACTGATTACTCCGCTGCACGGACATTATGGCCGACCGTTTTGTTTTATTAATTTGAATATTTTTTTCCTTTATTGTTTCAAATCTTTTTAACAAAATCTGTAATCTTTAACACATGCAAACGAAGATTCCGTCTGCTAGACAATCACAGAATCTCGAGTAAGTTGTCGTTGATATTGTGTAATTTTGTTAACCTTATGCATACGCATACATAGGCGTACGGGACGGGGGGGGGGCAGCTGCCCCCCAAAAAGATTACAAAGTCGAAAAGTCGGGCAAATGTTCAACATAAGTCGGGCGAAGAGTGGGAAATTAAAAAGCCAAAAAAGTACTCAAAGCAATAAAATCTCTCTTAATAATAACCCCAGTTTGTTGGGCAAACAAAGCCAGTTGGGCAATATTCGCTTCACAGTCGAGCAATATTGGGTTATTATAAAAATAAATGGGACAAATTCTGTCTATTTTGCGGGAAATTATGTCAATTTTGTGATGTTTGGAAAATTTGTTTGATGTTTCGAAAAATTTTGGTATGTCCGAAAAATTTTTGAACCCCTAAAATGGTACACTGACCGAAATTCTTTTGGCGACGGGGGGGGAGTGGAGGTCGCCAAAATTAATTGTTCCTCATCAAAAAAAAATTTCGGCACTGGTCGGGCACAATCCGTAAAAGTCGGGCAAATTTCTTTCCGCCCCCCTAATTTTTTCCTTCCGGTACGCCCATGTACGCATATGGTTTTGGACTTTTGGTAGTTGTTACGGTTTTGGTTTCTAGTACTGTGACAACTGGCGACATCCCTCTTGAGAATAACTAAGTGTCCGATCATGTCCGACCAAAACATGGGTTGGTCTGACACAATGTCAGACAAAGTTTTGAGAATTATATTGAACTCTGAAAAAGAGCTACCTTTACATTGGCATCAGTAAATGGCTAGACGTTCGCGATTTCTCAGATAAGGACGTTAAATCGTAGGTACCTCGGATCCCCTATCGATTGAGCAATAGCCTGTTGGAAAATCCGCTCACCGAGAAACTCAATATAAAACTAAACTAGTAAACTATTTTGAACCAAATTTTACTCCACATCTGGAGATTAATTTGTTCAAAATAACTCTAGTTAAATTAACAGTGCGAAGAAGGTTAATGTTGTTTCGACGAGGAAGTTAGTGACCTCCTGACAAGAGCCCTCGCTTCAAAGGTGAAAATTCGCCAAGGTAGAACTCAAGAGTACACTGATTTCTATATAATATGTATGAATGAACATAACCTACTTTCAATTGTTCTGCAACGTTGGCCCTTTTTGATGCAGTTTTAAAATCATTTGAATTTTGTTCTACCGTCTCCTCTTCAGGATCGTTTTCAGCATTTTCATCGTCCACTGATGATGGATGGAATTGTTCTCCGGTTGTTTCTACTGGGGAAATCTACAAACGCATAATTGATGGAGACAGTCGTTTAATTTCACCTGCAACGTTAGACTCCCACAATCATTAGACTTAAGATCAGTTGCTCAGTGGCATAGACCATTGATATCTCATTATATACTATATTTACAACATGAGCGTCTGTATATAGCATGCAGTTAAATATTATTAACATGCCTGTTCAATACTCCACTGTGGTTCATCATCTGGGTTAAGGTAGCTTGCTAAGGTTCGTAAACATTGACCAAGTACAAGATAACACTATAGAGAAAATAATTGACACAATAAACACACATATCATCTCCAACACGAGGGTCCAGTCTATGTAGTATTCTACAAAAAGCTGCGGTGGCTTTCGTTATCATTTTCAATAATTCCAACCAAAAACCACGAAATGCAGTAGTGAGTATCATACATAAAATACAATGACATAAAATAGATAGTTACTTTTGCCTTGAGATAAGGTATAGATACACATTGATTGAAGGCAGCTGTCACGTGAACTAGAGTTTCATCAACAATAGTCCTATAACAAATATTAACAATTCATCAGAAACCAGTCACTAACGACAAATTAACAAGTTATGTTACTTTCGCTCAATCAATCAACCAACTTTACTTTCAGGAGATTAACGACAGGGTATATGTGCATTTGAGTTTGGAGGTGGGTACCGCTGGTGAACAAAACTAGTTAATCTTGTAGGCAAAGAACGCAACCGCAAATTGGCAAAACATCACGCAAACAGTCATGGCAAACATATGCAAATAGTTATGCAAAACTGGCGATTAGTTATGGCAAAACTGACAAAGAGCAATGGCGAAACAGGACTACATCATATCTATTACATAAATCAATGAAAAACGGGTGGGAAAAGGGCGAAGGGGTAAAAACAGAGCTAATGTATGTTTTCATACATTGTTTTCTCGTGTTTGGATATCCCGGTGAAACACTCGCTCTCGTTGTTCATATATTACATCTATTACATAAATCAATGAAAAACGGGTGGGAAAAGGGCAAACCGTTGTTGCAAGCTAGCAGAACGAAGGAAGAATAAAGAAGCGCGCAAAGTACCCCAAAAGGTAAACCTGCGATCCCCCAAGAACGCCTGATCGCAGGTTACCCAAGGTAAAGGGACGTCAGAGATACTGACCATGATCAGAGATACCGACGTCACGTTAAACCACATCCAGACACTTTTCAGTCAAGACCAATAAACTACTTCACTACTGACCTCGTTACAGAAAACCATTTTTTCTCTTGTTCCGTCATAACTGGCTCATCTTGAACGAACGCGTCAATCAACTGCATAAAACATAAAAATAGTTTTTATTCAAAAATTAGAAGTAAGAAACAAATCTCGAAAAATTATAATAACCAGAATAATTAACCAGGGTCGGATATATCGTGGAGTGCAGGGGGTTCGCACCCCACCTAGCGGTCTCTAGCACACCCCTCCCCCCAGAGAAGTTCAGCACCACCCTAAAAAATCTGCTTGACCATACATTTTCTGCTTTTAGAATAGTGATTAGCAGAACTTCTCTGTTAGCGCGTGTCGATTTCTTGAAACAATTTAATTGATTTGAGAGCTCACGAGAAAATACTCAGAATGCTTTAGTTAAATATCATGGTTAAATATGTAAACATGTTGAGGTTGTTATACAGCCATGTTTTCAAATATACTGTACTTTAACAAGAAAATTTACTTTCCTTTGCTACAGCAACTGTCCAGTCACGCATACGTGATAAAAAGCCGACATAAATTTTATAAACAAAAGATAGTGTAAAACGTAAAAGAACGGCGAACACGCAGATTCGGCCATCTCAAATAATGGTAATGTTGGGATAGTAGCCTTGCAGACTACAGAGAAGAGTGGGCAGTAAGGCTCCATCATGCACCACCCCATGGAAAACCTGCACCTCTCCTTGCAGATGACGCTAGATCCGCTCCTGTAATTAACGCTACATTATTTACGTTTGTATAGAGTTCTACCTTTTCAACACTGCCCTTCCTTGCTTCTTTATTTCTCCTCATTCTGTCATCAACAGCATCGTCATTCATAATGTCAATAGCAAGTTCACCAAAACATAACTTACATTCAACACTTGCTCTTTCTACTGGCAGACTCACATGACAAAACTAAAATAAAAAAATCAATAAATTAAACCACACAATGTCTTACACCAGTACTTGTCCAATTATCTATTTTACACTGAAAACAAACCTCTTCAGGCGAGCAAAGAGACGCAATCTCCGTTGATAACACGTCACACAAGCGTACTGCAGAGCTTAGTAAGGTCAAAGCTTCAAGATAAAGCTTCCTTCTATTAGCCTTAGTCTTACTGTTTGCAGCCAGACGTCGCAATATCGCTGCTCTTTCACATTTCGCATCAATTGCTTCTTGTTTATAACCACAAGATAGCAAAGAAACTTCACTGCTTCGAAGACGCTGTAGATAAAAATATGAAAAGCAATTCATTCAAGACACAAGAATTTATATCTCAAACTACGGTCCAGTGTATAGGTAGTATTCTACAATAAACAGCCGTAGTTTGTGTCTGAAATACTTGGAAAATATATCTCATGCGTGGGGATCCAGTGCGCACTAGGTAGTATTCTACAATAAGCTGTCGTGGTTTGTGTCTGAATTACCTAAAAAATATATCTCAAACGTGGTGGTCAAGTGTAGGTAGAATTCTACAATAAACCGCTGTTGTTTGAACTACTTGAAAAAGATACCTATAAAACGTGGTGGTCTATATAGTGTATAGATAGTATTCTACAATAAGCTGCTGGTTTGTGTCTGAACTACCTGAAAAAGATATCTCAAACGTGGTGGTCCAGTGTACTCACCTCTCTTTACTTGCCGTGAATTTGTGTATGAAATGCTTAAAACTGGATAGCTCTATCAGTTCTAAACATCAGTTCTAAGCTGTTCTCCCTAAAACTTGAGTTAGGGCCATTCTAGCTTATTGGGTTATGGCTCTTTACTTCTTACTCAATTCCTGACTAAGATCTTCACTACAAACGTCGAAGTATTTTTAAATTTTTCAGGTAACTCAGAAACAAACTACGGTAGAGACGAATTGATGACAAACAAGAAATGACAAAGGTTTACCTCACAAGCTTCGTCCAAGTAAGACATCTCATTTGTTTCATCAAAGACATGTTTAGCACAAACACTACCCAACCTGCAAACAACAAAGTTTCACTGATCAATTGGTGGCAGGCATGCTTGTTTGTCCTCTATACGAAGTTAGAGGCCATACTGTGGGTAAGAGACAGCTAACGGATTGGACGGTATACCAATGTAAAAACGTGCAATTTCGTTGGTGTCTGGAATGCCATTTTCTGTCGCCTACATCGCAGGCGCAGACATCACAGAACTATGTAGGACCACATTTCCTCTTAGAGCGTTTCTCTTATACAATTAGAGAAACGCTGGAAACGCTCTTAGAGAGCTGGAAGACTATTGGAATGTCTGTCTCGTACCCTCCTACCCATCCTCAACAGGAGACTTGGTTCTGGAGGAATATGGCGGGAGAAAGAATTCCCCGTTGGGTTCTCTCTAAGGATATACATTCACATGATGCTGGCTGCAGTAGCCTTCTTCAAGTTCCGCATCTTATTTAGGACACTTTACATGCGAACAACTACAGTCCTAACTTGCTTTCCCGGTATTTTTTCACAGACGATGGTGTTAAACTGAAGCTCACTTACTTTGCTTGTAGTTTAGCAGTAACATACTCAGCCATACATGCTTTGTTTGGACTGTCTTGACAAAGAAGCTTGAATGTCGCTAGCGATTGTTTAAGAATCCTAATTGCCTGAATAAACATAAATACATGATGAAAACGAGCGGACACTCAAAGACTCTATACCTTCAAATACGCATTTAATTAGTTCCAGATTGTTAAGTCGTTGTCCCTTCTATAGTGGCCAGATCATATACCTTGCGTTTGGTTGTAATATCCACTCGAGTCCCCTGTGGATCATGTTTGTCCTTCTTTTCACATATAGCATCTACCAGGAGAAGAACTGTCTTAAGCCAAAATCTTTGGTCGACTTTAAAATTCTAAGAGAAAGAGAAGAGGCAAATGTTAAAATATAAAGCTTTGCGATATTAAACTGTATACCTTCAGAGACCTGTGTCGTGCAATCGGTGAAACCCTCTCAGTGCATTAACATACTGGGACTGGTTGTTCGAAGCTGGATTAGTATTTCCGCGCGTGTCTGTATATTTCAAAACTTCCGAAAATGATCCAGACAAGATTTCTGTAAAAATATACCCATGTTTATAAACAAGCAGTTGGGAAGATTGCTGTGAAGATTCTGTTAACCTTGGATTCAGCTGACCGGCTTTTGAACAACCGTCCCCTGTATAATAAACCTAGGTTATAAGTTACAATTCAGCTCAAGGTATACCTGTATCTCCTTTAGTAAAGAAATCGATTGTTGCCAGTTGGACTCTTGATAAGCAAGTAACGCAAGGTAGTACAAAACTTCAGCACGGGTTCTTTGATCATTAAACGCCTGAAAAACACAGAACGAAGACTTAGTTAGGATGTCAGTTCTTCACAATCTTCACAGACGTATCAAACGGTATACAGTCGCTCCTCTCTAATACCGACACCGAAGCGAAGGGAAAAAGCATTATGTATTAGAGAGATCAGACAGTTGCGATCTAACAGCCTCATACCCAGGCGCAAATAACGTACCCCAAGCACCCCCGCGCGCTCGCTCATCTTAGCCACTGATCTATATAAAAACACTGTAGTGTTGCTATTTTTAGTACGTTATTTGCGCCTGGGTACGAGGCTGGCGCTCTAACCACACGTTCATGTATAAACACTAAAGTGATGCCAATGTACGGATGAATATTTTGTATTTATACATGAACTTGTGGTTAGAGCTCGACAACTGTCTCTCTGTAGCTCAGATTTTTAGTACGTTATTTGCGCCTGGGTACGAGGCTGGCGCTCTAACCACACGTTCATGTATAAACACTAAAGTGATGCCAATGTACGGATGAATATTTTGTATTTATACATGAACTTTTTGGTTAGAGCTCGACAACTGTCTCTCTGTAGCTCAGTTGGGTTAGAGCTCGACAACTGTCTCTCTGTAGCTCAGTTGGTTAGAGCTCGACAACTGTCTCTCTATAGTTCAGTTGATTAGAGCTCGACAACTGTCTCAGTCTCTATAGTTCAGTCTGCACCGGAATCGCAGGGTCGCAGGTTGATTCCTGCCTGATTCCTGATATTTTCAACAGTATCTAAAAGACACTCACCAACGCTGATGTATTCGCCTCATTCAATAACTCTCTCGCGGCTTGATAATAACCCTAAACATACAATTATGCACTTTGTGTAAAATAATGTATTGTTTAAATTGGGAACTCGCGCTATGAATTACGTGCACATCTTTCTAAAGTGGACTACTGTATCACAGATAAGACAGTACTAAAATTGATCCATGTATTTTATTATTCATTCTTTAATGTCGTTTACTCCGGGTGTGATTGCCTATTGACTCGAGCTAGAGACTGGTGAGGGATCCTGATGGCACGAAGAAATCCGTCGAAACAAAGGAGAGAACCAATCACAATTTTACTTCCTTGATTTTTCAATTTTCAAGCACATCAAGTTTGTGCAGAGTAAGTTACCCATAGTCCCCCCTCCCCCCCCCCCAAGTAGCAAGTGGTAAAGAGCAATGCACCCGTGCTTCCCATAGTAGAGAGTTTGCCAAATACAACGGCATCTTTACTCTAAGTATAGAATAGTAAAAGGTGACTATAATTTGCATTCCCTTGTTCAAACTGCTACGTTATTTACACATTTTCACGGTTCGTGATCCACGCCAACACAGTAAAACGTTCAAGTCGTTTGGGGTGTTTTATGTGAATTCACTTACTATTGATATACTTCAGGGAATTTCAGGGTTGTTTAAAAGTTTAGTAATGTATTTTTTTGGCTCGGTTTTGTTTTCTGCCGTCGATAGCATGATCGTTAGGTTATGCACTTCTCCAATCTGGCCATTTAGTGTGTATTTTTAATAGAGAGTCAACTCTGTATATTCCTGAGGCCAATAGAGATAGCAATAGTCATAGTCTCCACTTTTTTTCATACGTGCCCCCATAATTCGACATCTTGTGAAGGCAAATCTTTAATAACTGAGAAGAACATGCATGCTATTTCTATCGTGTTATATACATATACCTGTTTAATAAAAATGGCTGCTTGTTGTATCCATATTTCCCTTCTCTCAATCTGATGTATTTCTTGTCTTCCTGACATCCAGTTATTATTTTCTACTACAGTTGCATGATCGGTAGTTTTTCTGGTTTCGTCTTTCGACTCCATGTTTGCTGACGCTCTGACATTCTCTTCTTCTTTCTTAACCTGACGCTGTTTTTCCTTCCAAAGTTCAATTTCTTCTCTGGACCTGATGGGAAGAAGACATACAGTAAAACTTCGGTAAGCCTTGAAGCCCCCTCTCTTTTAATCCCCTTCCCTTTACGCCCCCTCTCTATTAAGCCACACCCCGTAATCTACCTCCTCTATGCCCAGTCATCACCTCTCAAATAAGCCCTCTATCTACTAAGCTACCCCCTCTCTTTTGAGTCATCACCTATGTATTAAGCCCCCTCCCGTTAAACCCCTCTTTTAATCCCCTTCCCTTTACGCCCCCTCTCTATTAAGCCACACCCCGTAATCTACCTCCTCTATGCCCAGTCATCACCTCTCAAATAAGCCCTCTATCTACTAAGCTACCCCCTCTCTTTTGAGTCATCACCTATGTATTAAGCCCCCTCCCGTTAAATGCTTCTCTATTAAGCCACGCCCCGTAAGCTACCCCCTCTCTGTCGAGTCATCACATCTCAAATAAGCCCTCTATCTACTAAGCTACACGCTCTCTTTTGAGTCATCATCTATGTATTAAGCCCCCCTCCCGTTAAATGCCTCTCTATTAAGCCACGCCCCGTAAGCTACCCCCTCTCTGTCGAGTCATCACATCTCAAATAAGCCCTCTATCTACTAAGCTACACGCTCTCTTTTGAGCCATCACCTAAGTATTAAGCCCCTCTCCCGTTAAATGCCTCTCTATTAAGCCACGCCCGGTAAACTGCCTCCTCTCTGTCGAGTCATCACCTCTCAAATAAACCCTCTATCTACTAAGCTACACGCTCTCTTTTGAGTCATCACCTCTCTATTAAGCCCTTTCTTTCTACTCTTCTACTAAGAAGTGAAATCCATACTATGACATTTGCAATTGCACCACTAAATCCATAGTATATCCATACTTTTTCGATACTCCATCCATAGTTTGGAAATATACAATTTCCATTAAATGGATTTTCAATTTTTCCAGTGCCCCCTTTCTATTAACAGCCCCTCTCTAATAAGTTCCCTCTAATACGCCCACCCCTCTCTGTTAAGCCAACATTTCTAAAGTTTCCTATAATACTGGATCAATAAGGCAATAAAGGATGGCCCTTACTAGACCTGTGGGAAGTTTAGAATTGATAGAGCCATTCACTAGAAGTTAGTTTAGTTTATTATTCAAACATGTGAACTTACTTAGCCATTTCGTCTTTTTGGTTTTCAAAATCTTTCGCAATTCTTTCGTGATACATTGCATCTTCCAGCAGGTGTAAATCTTGACAGATTTCCATCGTCCTACAAAAATAGTTTGTGTCTGTGCTGGATAGTATTTCTATACTTTATAATTTTGTAAAACGGTTAACATTTCACAATATCGTATTTTACAATTTTCGATAAAGAAAGATTAATTATAGTCATATGTGTATTCTAAACCAGGTTAAGGCCCTGTCACACTATTGCGTATCGTACTAGCGTATGCCAGCGTATGAAAAATATCACTCACACGCCGGTATACGCTGATATACGCTAGGGGTACGTTAGGCATAGGTTGTATACGTTTCAAGCCCCGTTTACACTACGCTCAATTTTTGGTACGGCACGGATAAAATTGGTACCCGTACCACTTTTTTTGTTCTTGGACCAGCTATTTAGCTAAGCCCCGTTTACACTACAATCAATTTTTGGTACCGTACCACTTCTTGGTTCTTGGACTACCTAAATAGGTAGTCCAAGAACCAAAAAAGTGGTACGGGTACCAATTTTATCCGTGCCGTACCAAAAATTGAGCGTAGTGTAAACGGGCTTCAAGCACGGTCGCATACGGTGGCATACGCTGGCATACGGCGAGGCAGAAAATTTTTTTTAAGCATGTTCAAAAATTTTGTGCGTATTGGACGTATGCTTTATACGATAAGCATACTTTAGGCACACGCTGAATACGCTAGAGGTACGCCAGATGTACGGTACTCATACGCTGGCATTTCAAAGGATTTTTGTGCGTATGAAAATTATTTCATTAATTTTCATACGCTGCTCATACGTTTCTCTCATACGCAATAGTGTGACAGGGCCTTTAGCGTGCATATCGGCAATGTAAGTGTTAAATTGTTTTTAAATGAAAATACAACCGATTCATATATTTATCTTGCACGGTCTATGCCAGTATAAGAAAGTCAAGAAAGCTTCGGATCTTCGGATTTACTTAGCTCAAACGAAAACTTACAGCTAATTTTATTGATTCGTATTAACTTTTTTTGTTTGTTTTTTTTTTTTTAAATATTTCAGAAAGTAGTCTTTTATTTTATTTCTTTTTTTTCTTTTTTGGTTCTTAATATCCTACTCTATTAATTTCTTTTATTATTATTCGGTATTTTTGGCCTCCAGCTCTGATTAGCCTACTGGTTATTTTGGAGAGCCGGCTTCAATCCTGATTATGTATATTCCTACTCAACGCATTGAGTTAATCAATCTATTTGTAAAATCAATAATATCATGTATTAGTACTTAAATGAGTGAATGATTGTAAAATTGTAGTGAAGCAAATAAATCTTCTTCTTCTTCCCTAACAATCCTAAGCTTTCAATCATATCTTTACTCTGTGCATGATAATCTTTTCATATACTAGAGAATACATCATTTCCACCAACCTCCAATGGATTAATTTTAGCAAGACTTCATTATCAATGACATGTTTAGCCAGACACCGCAACAAGCTTGTGATTGGCAGACTTAGATGATGGTAACCAATGGAACACAGATTATCCACCAATGCATTTAAATAATGAACGGATATAGCCTGGATAAAGGAAGTCCGTTTAGATTGGATGGCTGAGAAATTTCATCACGGTTTATATTCAACTCCGCGACCAACACTGGATGACCCCAGTTTCACATATCATAGGATAGCATACAGTTTAAAGGTTGAAGTTGAATTTAAATTTGTCTCTAATATTTCCTGGGGCAGGTTGTTCGAAAGCCGATTAGCTTAACCCTAGGTTAGGCAAACTTCCTGACAGCTTGTTCATAATGAAGCTTGTGATGTTGCTCTGAGTGTATATGCACACCGGTCAAGCTTGAAAAATATGCCTGGCCACGGCGGGAATCGAATCTACGACCTTTGGAATACAAAATTTGGAAATATATGTTTCTTCAGAAATCTTGGCTGAGTCGATAGGAGTTTACTTCTCCGAAGTTTTGAAATAAACAGACGTGCAAAAATACACAAACCAAAACAGCAGGTTAAATTTTAACCCAGGGTTATCGCTAACCCACCTTTGAACAACCGGTCCCTGAACCACAAAATACTGGTATGTTCTAGGTATATTATGAACAACTTTTCCGTTGTGTCGGAGAAAATGAGAATACACGCTATAAATCCTCGTTTTCGTGATTGAAACATTTAAGACGTTTTTACGATTATAAGAGATAAACATTTGTATAATTATGTCATCAGTAACAAGTTGAAAGACTCGAAAACCAAGATCGTTGCTAAAGCGGAGAGCGATGGTTTTTGGGATCGTTAAAACGTGAAACACAACGACGACGACGACGACGACGACGACGACGACAACAACGACAACAACAACAACAACAACAACAACAACAACAACAACAACAACAACAACAACAACAACAACAACAACAACAACAACAACAACAACAACAACAACAACAACAACAACAACAACAACAACAACAACAACAACAACAACAACAAACCCTAACACGCCTTATGACAGTAACATAAATTCTGAATTTAAATTTGCAACAATCCGTTTTACTCATTAACCTAAACCAAGGTTTCTTTCACCAAAGTTAAACCCTAGGGACATCACGTAATTTCGGGACGGTGTATTAAGCTGCTCTGGCTACCAGTTTAACTGCTTAATGAGCTATCATGCATAAATAAAGTCATCACATCATACTACATTACCACAAAAGCTACTTGCACTTACCGGACGAGTAAATGATGTCTTGCTGATAACCTTTCCAGACTCGTCGTTTTTAAAATGTTCCACAATCTGAAAAAAAAAACACAAACAACATTTGCTGCTAAAACAATTTCATAGAATTATCATGAAATAGTTTTTCACTAAAAAAGGCTATACATGCAATGAAGAGTCTCTAAAATAAGTCCTCCCTGACAAGCAAGCGCTTTATTGATGGGTCCAATCGTATTAAGTCCCCCCCCACTAACAAAAGAAAACCACATGTATTACTTAGATTGGCTAGATGTTCACGTTTAGCTTTTGTTACATACTGCGTTAAAGAAATAAACTTCCCATCTTTATAAGACCGGATTTTGGTGGAAATAGTGGGGGAAGTGGAAAAATATTTAGGGGAGGTGTAGCAGTCTAGCTCACAACCCCCATGGAAAGTTAGAGCTTAGAACGGGCCAAAGTCAACGAAGTGACGTATGCATGTAGTGTACACATGTATCAGTGTATTAACCAATTATGACTGTACAACTCATCCAATTTTGCCTTCATTACAATTACTACAATGTTTCTTTCAAAACATTGCATTAAAAGGGTACTTGACGTACAAAGATGAATGGCTATCACTGTTTCAATTTTACAGAAAAAACTTTCTACGAAGCGTAGACCCCCTAACTAAGCAACCAAAAAATTTCAAATTTCCACTTTGATCTATAATTGAAACTTTCCCAAGGGGAGCAGGCCTTAAATATCTTTTACAGGGCCATCTGACAAATTGTCCGATGACGTTGAGTTTGGGTCGGACATATGTCCGATGACCTTCAGTTCAGTTTTGACCCGGAAATAAGACTGAATGCCACAAATGAATATCAGCACAATGTATTAATTCTGAACGGTAAATGTTGTGAAGATATTAAATAATTTATGTAATAATTGATTTACGTTGGACAAAGCTACAGTTCGGTCGGACACAAATACACTCGGGTCGGACAAACAATAAACCTCAGTTTCACTTAGGTCGGACAATTCTGTCCGGTGGTTTCCTCTGTGCGTCGGACAATTTCACGAATGGCGACAATGTCCGTGACCGACCGATATTTTAAGGCCTGGGGGAGGTGCATGACTTTTCAGGGGAGGTGCGTACCTCCCCTCAAAATCCGATCATGCATCTTTATTAAGCCCCCCCCTATACGCAATTTAGGTAAAAAGCTGATTTCTGCATGTTTACAATTAATGTATAGCCAACAGTAAAATCAAATTTCATCTGCATCACAACATTAAAATTTAGAAAGATGAACCAGAAGCTAAGGTTACCTTTTCTGGGATTTCAAATGTCGCCCAGTTGTGTAACGTTGAAGGAAGACTCGTCTTGCCAGGTGACTTTTCACCCTTACCCTGGAACAAATTATCTTTCAATAAGGTAAACTTTATTTATGCATATAGAGAACTTTGAGATTCAAAGTATAAAGAGATGTATAAAGTTTGAAAGACAGACAAGGAAACTGTTAAATTCATGAGAACTATATCTGCCCAGTGAAAATTTTCTCAATCATTAACTAAACCCTGTGTTAACCTCAATCATTAAACAGTATTATTCATACGATGCATGATAACAGACGACAAGTTTTCTTCTGTAATCATTTGGTTCAACGAGTTTGTTTGCCGTCGCGTTCTACATCTAAGCTAATGTATCGCCAGCATTGTCTGAATCATAAAAACGGGGCTTTATACCTAAGGCAATGTACTTCCTATTAAAATGCAAGTAACATTCCCATGATACCTCTTTCTGTTCCTTGTTTTTATTTCCTTTCTTAGTGGGTGTACAATCACCAGCCTTCGTTCCGTCACGTGATATTTCTGCGAAATCCAAAGATACCTACATAGGGATATTCACAGGAAATATTCAACTTTCCATTCATGGCTTTTTGAATGTAAAAATTGCCATTATTGATTGGTATAGATTTCCCACATGGTGAATTAGTAAAAACCATGTTTAATATTTACCATTACACAAAAAGTTTCCATACCCTGAAAATGTTCTGTAGTAGCAGGCTTAACTTAGCGTGCTTAACTCAGTGTCGCCCGTGTAACGAGATGGCAAAGAAGCTGTAATATGTATATACCTTCCATATACGTTGAACACAAGCAACAGCAAACAGACAATAATCAGTAAAATGTGAAGATTTCCTTCCCACAAGTTGAGCCAACATAATATAAATACGTGTTAAATAGTCCAGTGTTTTCACGTCCGATATTCTGTTCAGTTGAGCGCCATTCTGTGGTCCTGATGATGATTCGCTTTGCTGTTCACCTTCCACATCGTCTGCATGACAAACAGAAAATAGGAAATTTGAAAGAATGAAGAGAAAGTTGAGAAGGATTTAGTTCCAGTATCTGTTATACACTTGGTGAAATACTATCTGTTGTGAACGTTGTGAACATATTCCTTACAAGTTACTGCAAATCTTATTTTATTATAGCCCGCTTAGGGTAACGGGAATTATTGAAACATATCCTATCCTATTGTATTGATATCAAAAAGTAAATCATCTTACCATGTTCATTAATGTGATCTGATCTGTTGATAAGTATGTCGACAGCCTTCATAAACTACGCAAAAAAGAAATAAAGTTATATTAAATACGGTCTGTGTATTCATGGGAAATAAGATGCCAGCAAACACTTTGCCGTTTTGAGCCTTCACCATGTTGGTAACTTGTGAATACTAACGTATTCCTGACGAAGGGACTCTCGATCAAAAGGTTAAAGTGCCCTTTTCTTTTTTTAGGTAGTTCAGACACAAACCACGACAGACAATTTATTGTAGAATATACTACCTACATTGGACACCTATGCTGGAGTTTTTTTTTCAGGTAGCTCAGACATAAACCTCGGCAGTTTATTGTAGAATACTACCTACACTGGGCCCCATGTTTGAGATATCTTTTTCAGGTAGTTCAGACACATTATTTTAAAACACTACTTTAACTGGAACACAAAAGTTTAAGATATCATCACAAAATTCCACTCACCTGGTCTACAGCATCTTGAACAGGAAACTCGTTCACAAATAACCATTCACCAAGTTCAAGAAGGAAGTCAACTTTCTGCCAGTCGCTCTTTTCCTCCTGCATGAATATACAGTAATCGAAAAAGAGGATGAAGAAAAGCGGGGAAGGAGGGATGGGGGGATAAAGGGAAGATAAAATCTCAAACTAATTAATAATTCATGAATAAATTGGCCAATCATATTACTTTATTTTGCTTACATGGCAATACTGGATACCTGGCGAAGTATATTGATTCAGTCTTAGGACTGGATCAAAATTAATTCACCTCATTTTAAGTAGTGATCTATTCATATGAGATGTCATTTCAAATCCGACTATGAGGACTGGACTAGATTTCAAGTCCTCGCATTTTGATCCAGTCCTTGGCTTCGCCTCGGACATTATCAAATTACGCGGACTTGAAATCTAGTCCAGTCCTCATAGACGGATTTGAAATATTACATAATAAAATTCGTGATAATAGCATTTTCAAAAAGGCTTTTGAAATTCTCTTTGCAAGAATTTCATCTCGAAAACGCAGGAAATTGCCACTCTGGTCTTCCAAAACGAACACCGCGGAAAAACGTCTGCGCATGCACCATATTATGAAAATATGGCGGGGAATTTGAATATCAATTTCTAAAACAAAAACATGCTTATTAATTGGTCAAAAATTAGTAAAACAAACGAGAAAATATAGCAAATGGGTAGACTAGATATTAATTGAAAGCGTCCTGGCATTTAAAGTATGGAATAAAATATAATTCATATCAAAAATTGTTGACTTTAACGGATACGACTTCGAAAATTTTTGCAAAATTATTCAAAACAAAAATTCAAACTCAAAAGTTAAGAAAACTCTCGAAAAGTTAAGCTTCTTAACCCACTCAAATTGTAGAATAAATCCTAAAGTTTAATTATTGTGAACACGAAATTTTTTTATATTTGGCGACACAGTTTTTTTTAAAGAAATGTATCTCAAACGAAAATTCGGAAATTGTCGTTACTTAGTTGATAAACAAAATGTTTCAGGCGATAAATTTGTCAACAATCACCTTTAGTTCATGTTCTAGTACAATACAATTTCTTGAACCTTCTGGCTGTATATATTCCTAGTTTTTAGAATGACATGTTTATTTTTGCGCTTGAAATCTGGCTGTAAAGACGCACAATGAAGTCACTCCTTTTTACCGCCATTTTGAGCTTTCGGAAACGTTCGGAACAGCTTCTCATCAAGTTCGTAATACTATTACAGGTAAGGTTGACGCATGCGCAGACGTTTTTTCCGCGGTGTTTCCAAAACGGGGTTCGTTCGCGTATTCGTCAAAGCAAGCGCCTTTCACCTTGAGTTCGTGGGTTTGATTCTCGCTAAGGACGCATGGGGAAAAGAGTCAGTCAACGCTCTGCCGTGGGTTTTCTCTGGGTGCTCCGGTTTCCTCCCACAGGGAAAAGTTGACAGGGTGGGCTAGGATAGACCATTGAACTATAAGTAAACTGGAACGATAACTTGGCCGCCATCTTTGAAGCCGGCCATGAGTGTTTCTGCAAGTAGACCCAGTCCTTTTTTACAAAATGGATGCGAAAAATATAGCTCATGTATACAACACAGCTTTGATCTAAAACACATAAAATAAGCAAATATTGTTTAACCGCCGAAATATGACATGAACAAAACGAAACTCGGCAAAAAACCGCGCGAAAATTTATGGTTTTTCTTTGTTTTTAGACTTTCCAGAAAGACTTCAGAGACAATTTTATACAATTTATGTAGAAAAATCTTAGACACGGTTGTTAATGGATGTCCACACATCCAGTGGTTAATAATAAGTTAAAATTAAGGATTAAATTAGTAAAAATACTTCGTGAAAAATTCAGTATTTATTTTCGTATACATATACCTGCGAACAGGCTGTACTTGAACGCCAAAATTTGGCTTCACCCAAACATAGGCCTTCATCATAGGGGTTATCGTTCCTGTTTACTTGTAGTTCAATGGGATGAACACAGTTAAGAAAGTAACATCACAATGGACCATTTGCATTACAGACTAAATTTTGATCTAGACAAGTCTAGGCAAAAATTTCATCACAGCTTGAAAGAGTATCACAAAATTAGTAATATTCCAAAGTTTCGTTGCGAAATGTTGTAAAATACGGATAATATAGCCTTGCGAAGTTTGCCGTTTTTCAGTCATTTTGTATTACGCACGGGAAATCGACAGCCCAATCGGGTGTTGGGGCATCAATTTTTCCCATTTGTAATACAAAATGACTGAAAATTGCAAATTTCGCAAGGCTATATTATCCGCATTTTACAACATTTCGCAACGAAACTTTGTAACATTACTAATTTTGTGATGCTCTTTCAAGCTGTGATGAAATTTTTGTCTAGACCCAAATTTAGTCTATAATGCAAATGGTCCATTGTTGTAAAGATAAAATAGTCCAGGCTAAGTATGTAATTTAAGGTATAAGCGTAATAATTGATGTGAAGCGCATATGATCATACCCACATGTAATTTACGCTTTAGAAATGCTAATCGTAATGGTAAAACTCAACATTTTCCGCTCCTGGATAGGAAAAGAGAATGACCCTTCCAGAATTAGGGTGGGACAAAAGTGTAAACCCTACTGGTAATTTTATACATCCTTGTTAGAGGACAAGAGGCAGGTATCGCGGGTAAAGAGATGAATGAAAAGAAAATATGAAGGGAAGATATTGAAAATACCTGTAAAACATCAATAGCATTCTGATAAGCCTTCAGTTGTTCTCGGGGATCGCATGAATTTAACGCGACATGATGCCACATCGAGGAAATCACCAGTTCACTTTCGTTCTAACAGAAACATTTAGATTAAATGAAAGAGTATTGCATTGCTAGTTGTGAGGTTAAAATAGCTAAAGCATATAGTAATCAGAATTGGAAAAGACATAGACGCCTGCTATGAGCACTTTAAAAGTCTAATGGCAAATATACGCTAGGTGCTGTGCAATTTATACACATACTTTAAATTTCCCCATATCAAATTGAACATCCCTGCCAAGTTTTGCTTTTGTGATCACTCGATGTTTGAAGATAAGCCTACACAAACGAGAGTTTTAACTCTTATGTGATTTTCATGTCTAAAATTGCGATATTTCTGGCTATATATGTATATACATACAGTCGATGTGATGTTCTTGGCATATCCCGCACGGCGTCATCCATTGCTCGCAGTCCTTGCTCCCATTCACCCTACAAAACGATTGTTAAAACAAGTGGGTATGAATCCAGCTTGATTTGTTAAGGTGGGGAGGTGGGTGTGGGGAGGTGGGGGTTAGGAGGTGCGGGTGAGGAGGTGCGGGTGAGGAGGTGCGGGTGAGGAGGTGCGGATGAGGAGGTGCGGATGAGGAGGTGCGGGTGAGGAGGTGCGGGTGAGGAGGTACGGGTGAGGGGTGCGGGTGAGGAGGAGCGGGTGAGGAGGAGCGGGTGAGGAGTGGAGAGGTAGGGGTGAGGGGGGTGGAGACAGCAGTGGGGAGGGGGTTGGGGGTTGGGAGGGGGGTTGGGAGGGGGCTCTCTGCCGAGTAAAATCGCATCGTGTTCACCAGGCCTTTTACGATCAAATCTTTGTAGCCCGTTTGTGACTGCATTAAGGGTTAAATCTTGCATCAAGATTATTGCCAATTACCTGATCAGCAAAGGCTTGAAAGAGAACACCATACATCGCCGCTCTCATTTTTAGATCATCTTCATAGACATTGACTGGCTCAACAATTGATGGGTTCGGTGTTTCCTTCAATGTTTCATCAGTTTTCTTACTTCTGAAGAGAAACAACATGTTTCGTGCTTTATTGTAACACAAAAAAAGAAACTTCTTGCACAGTTCACTGGTGCTTGCATTCAGACCTGGATGAATAATAATTATAATTATAATTATAAAACTTCATACTACTAGTTAACTACCGGACTAACTACACTATGTGCAACGCAGTTAAATCATGCAGTCAGCTAATTAAAGTTATAGACTTAACTATAAGTATGGTTATGGTGGGAGTCCAGTGTAGGTAGTATTCTTTAACAAGCTGTCGTGGTTTGTGTCTGAACTACTTGAAAAAAAAATCAATCATGGGGGTCCAGTGTAGGTAGTATTCTACAATAAGCCGCCGTGGTTTGTGTCTGAACTACCTTTAAAAGATATCTTAAACGTGGGAGTCCAGTGTAGGTAGTATTCTATAACAAGCTGTCGTGGTTTGTGTCTGAACTACTTGAAAAAAAAAAATCAATCGTGGGGGTCCAGTGTAGGTAGTATTCTACAATAAGCTGTCGTGGTTTGTGTCTGAACTACCTGAAAAAGATATCTCAAACATGGGGATCCAGTGTATAGGTGGTCTTCTACAATAACCTGCCGTGGTTTGTGTTTGAACTACTTGAAAACTATTAAAACTACTTAAAAGTCATCAGGTTAGTCATGGATGCTAAGTCTCTAAATGCTTAGTCATCTTCACGAATTTCAGCCACAAGTAAAGATAAGGTATTATCAAAACTGTGTATCCATCCTCTCGTGTCAAAAACTTCAGGAATGCAATTATATTCCCACGCCCGCTATTGCTAAAATGTCAAATTATGTTCGAATTGTCAATTTCTCGACGTTAGGAATATAGTCATATTGCTGAACGTTTTGACTAAAAAACGGGCGAAAGGAAAGATCTGTGTTTTGGTAATAAAGGTAAACATTTCTCACGTCTTCAAAGATTTTGTTTCCTTGCCAGTTTTCTTTCCAGACTTCTTTCCAAGTTCTTTCTTGCCTTTGATTTTCTTTCCTTTCAAACTAGTCCCAGTCTTTTCCTCGCTCTCCTCATCTTCATCCTGCCAAATTTTTGGTAATTATATACAAGAAGAGGCGGCATAAAAGGGCGGGGACGGACTTGGGCCGTAACATTTCGCGAACGAAACAGTTAATTAACATTTTTAATTCGACGTTCCGACTAGCTTGTAGTCATCATCAGGAATGACGCTACGGGAAAATAATATACATGTTATGTATACAAGATCAAATGACATATGATATGTATATTTTTTCCGTAACATATATAACATATATATTTTATAATATATAATTATTATAATTATTATAATTATTAACTATTATTATAATTTCATATAACATGTATATTTTTCCGCAGCGTCATTCCTGATGATGACTGCGTCGAATTAAAATGTTAACTGTTTTCGGAGTGTCCATTGTTTTGTATTTTTTAAAATTACTCAGTGGTAACCGTAACTTCATACAATGTAAACATAGCTTAAAGTGAAGATGTTAATATGTAAATTGATCTGTTGTTTCCTTGCAATCGCCTTGGCGAACGAAACACATAAAACATACCCTGTATGACACTTACTTCGTCATCCTTGTCCATATTCTTGTCAGTGACAGCCGCTAAACATTGTAAGACAATTTGCAGAGGTTCTTTTAATAACTGTCTTTCCAAAGGTTCATTTGCGAGCGGTATGACGGTATTCCAGTAATGTCGTGCTGCAGTTATTACAAACTCATAACTCTTCGCTAACTCACCAAACCTAGGGTGAAATACGACATCAGGGGCAGGTTGTTCAAAGCTGGATTAGGGCTAACCCTGGATTAAAATTAAACCTGCTGTTTTGCTTTGGGTACATTATTCTGCACTTCTGTTTATTACAAAACTTTAGGGAAAAAACTTTTGTTGATCATGACAAGAATTTTGGAAAATTATCTTCATGTTTATAAACAAGCTGTCGGGAAAAATTAAGTCTGGTAGGGTTACCAAAGAGAAATAAAGTTAGTTTTATAGTTTAGGTTTCCTCGTGCAGTAATATTAGATCAATAAGGGATAACTCTTGCTGGGCCTCTGGGAACAGTTTAGAACTAATAGAGCTATCCAGCATAAGTAAAGTTAGCTTAAAACAGTAGCGATTGATGCACCGGGTGGAAAGCGTAATTTAAAAAAAGAAATGAAAATGAAAGTCATTCGCTGGGCTTTAATTTTCATTTTTAAAGTTAGCTTAGTTTAGGTTTGCTCCTGTAGTAACACTAGATCAATAAGGGTTGGTCCTTACTGGATCTCTGGGGAGACGAATTTAGAACTAATAGAGCCATTCAGTATAAATAAAGCCAGTTTACTAGTTTAGTTCAGGTTTTCTCCTGTATCGCAGGTTATAATACTATCCCTTACTAGACCTCTAGGGATATAAGTGAAACTCCTTGAACCAACCTGCATGCTTTCACAAAATATCCCAAGGCATCCCTCCTCATCTTATTTTGTCCCTTCATCACCTTGACAACAGATTGTCCCATAATGACGCATGTGTAGTACAGCAAATGTTGTTTTGTTTTCTCGTTGTGTTCAACACTAACAAAAAATATTTCAATGTTTAAATACCGGTACTCATAACAAAACATTGAATAAGTAAAGTATTTTAAATTAAAAACGCTACATGACTTATGTGCTACAGTTCAAGTTGGCTTGAATAAGAAGTTGGCATAACACATCGCAAAAAAATAGTCCCATCCAAGCACGATCCAGTTGTGATTGGGATGTTTCATTATTTTGTTCCCCATCCAGTTACTAATTGTTTTGACATATTTGTGATTTTATGCAAAGAGCCTATACGGGCACTTTTTTGGAATATAAAAATTCCTTTCCACCGTTTACGACACTGGTAAAACACAAAGGGAATGACCGCTGTGTCGTTGTATTCGTATAATAAACGTCCATGAACTAAGTCGACTCTCACGGTTGAACTTCACCAGAAATACTGGTTCCTTTGAGAGGTTATTTCACACAATCGAAGTCGCTTAGTAATTTTAAAACCTCGAAGTGTCAAGTGTGGTAAAAAAAAAAACCAACACAGCTAGTGCTTCCTTTTTCAACACACTTTTTCAAATGACTAGTCGAATAAACTCCTTCTTTCGTCTTATCAAATAACTGTCAAATGAAAGATAGCAAACTTGAAGTTGAGGCAGACAACAGAACATCTGAACAGAACAAGGACAGAACCTCATATTACAAGCTGAAACGGAAAGCAGCATAAGTCCAGACTTGGCTACCGCGTATACGGACACGGTTATCAAGAAAACGCAGACCTTAAAACTCTCATGCAAACTCTCGTTTGTCAACTCTTGTCAACACTCATTCTCGTTTGACTAGGGTTTTAGAGAGGTTACGATTTCAGTGGAAATTCAGATCCGAGTTGGTAGCTGTCATGTAGGTCATGAGAGAGAAGTATAAGATTGAAAATTTCAATTAACAAAATCTCGAACTCGCAGTGCTAAAGCTCGCTAATTACTGTAGACAAACAACTACAAACCTTGGTTTACTTTTCCCTTTATCTTTCTTCTTATTTTCCTGATCAAACGCCAGAGCTTTCTTGCCACATTCCATAACCAATGTATGACTGCCCGCATTAAATGCAAGTACAGCTAAACGACTCCAGATTTCTAGAGCCACTGCATCATCACTCCACACACAGTTGCCAGCCAACCGAACAACCTGAGTGAGAAAACATAACGTTAACATCTTTAGATAAAGCAAGAGCAGTCAATCATACATTGGACTATAATTTTCTGGCCAAATAAATATTAGTGATTGTAAGAGGATGAAACAACTACCAAAGGAATACCGAATGGTTTTCCGTGCAAGATTGCGTGATCCATGCACGAGGGATGTCGCAAGACGTTTGGAAAGCGTAAAAATACTCGAGCCGCAGGCGAGTGTATTTTTACGCTTTCCGAAAGTCGAGCAACATCCGAAGTGCATGGATCACGCTATCCTGCTTGGAAAACCATTTGGTAATTGTTTTATAAAATAACTATGTACAGTGAAACAATGACATTTTAAGAATCCCGCGAAGGCATTTTAATTCCTCGTGCAGGATAGCCTGATCCTGCACGGCTATTGACCAATCAAATTGCGTGTTTCACTGTAGTTATCATATAATACAGGTTCAGGGCTTTCAAAACAAGCAGGCGACTGTCGCAGCTTGCTTTGCAACACGCTTGCTTTCGATATGGGAGATTTAGGTTGAATCCTTGGTCGGATCTCTACTCAAGATCTTGAAATAGTTGAGGAGAAAGTGCTACCTTTACACTGACTGTAAATGGTTAGACTTTCGCGTCTTCTCGGATAAGGACGTTAAAATGGTAGATATACCACGGATCCCCCTATCAACTGGGCAATAGCTTGTTGTAAAATCCGCTCACCAATGCGTCAGAGTGAGAAATTCAATCAACTTATTTAGTTGTCATGGTCTTGTTCTGTACCATGTATCAAATTCTACCTGATGTTGACTGGTTTTTCTTAAACGTGTAAAATAATTCAGACTGATTTTACCTCTTGTAAAGTAGGCGATGACGAGAAATCATTTAATCCATAAAGATTAACAGATAACATTTCTACAGCGCAAAGACAACGACTCATTGGTCCTTGACTATTGGCATCCTATAAAAAAAAGTTGTTTTAATTACTACGTTTCCTAACAGCCAACAAGAAGACCTAAAGTTTTTATTATCCTGTTCTTACCTCAGAATCGATTCCAAAGTTCTTGGGTATTTGTTGAGAAAGAAGTTGTTTGCAATGAACCCACGTCTTGATCAATGAATGGCGAACAGATATCGCAACTAAATTTCTCGTATCATTACCATTCGTCACTTGCAAGGCATAGTCAATATACTAAAATAAACAAGGAGTTGAAATATAAATGATAACATCAAGCTTGATCTAAAAGTTCAAGACCAAGCTTGATGTTGAACCTATAGAACCACGCAGTTCACACATGACCAAGACAAAGGCATATTATGGCGTCTTGGTTGCCACCGTATGTCTCATATGGTAATCACCTTCCCTTGCAACTGACAGCTCAATGGCGAAGGAAGCAACTCAAAGGCTTATATGTCTGGCCATATAACCCATGTCTGGGCTGCCATAAGACCCGTGTCTGGCCATAAGACCCATGTCCGGGCTGCCATATGACCCGTGTCTGGGCTGCCATATGACCCGTGTCTGGCTATATGACCCATGTCTGGGTTGCCATATGACCCATGTCTGGGCTGCCATATGATCCATGTCTGGGCTGCCATATGACCCATGTCTGGGCTGCCATATGATCCGTGTCTGGGCTGCCATATGACGCATGTCTGGGCTGCCATATGACACATGTCTGGGCTGTGTACCATGTGGCCATGTACGGTTTTGAATACCTTGGGAATTGGAAAAGTCATATGGTACCGGCAAAAAGCAAGTACGCAGATAGTGAAAGTATTGCGTACCCACGTGGTACTGTGTTGGTAAAGAAGTAGTACAAGATCGAAATATAAAGCGGTACCTCCGGTAAGTTAGTGGGCGATTGATCGCACCCAGTAGTTGTATCTCATACAAAAGACTGCTGTTTGTCCTCATCGCTACCTCCACTGGCACGGACCATCAAGTAACAATACCTTACTTTGAACGTTCACTTGCAGGCACCGCGCTAACCGTTTCCGCTACCCGCACTCTTCTCTAAATAATTGATAGCATACCTCTAACGCTTGTTTCAGCTCAGTTGTCGCATCAGCATCAAAACCTGCAGTGGTAATTTTTGGAACAACCTTCACGGGATTTTTGTCCTTCTTTCCGTCAGCTTTCTTAGCGGGAAATGTTGAGATTGACGTCTTACTACCAGATGTAGGGTACCAAGGTTGCATTAGACCTGTTGCAAGCATGTTACTCACTTGACAGAGTACACTACTTTCCCTAAAAATGTATGTTTTTTAGTTAGAAACAAATCATACTGATAAGCCAAATATAGCGTAAAGCCCCCCCCCCCCCGGCTTATTTATTTCAGACACATTTATGGGGGGGGGGGGGCTAATGAAAAGGAGGTTTAATAAATGTTCATTTTACTCTTGGCAGAGGAGAATCTTTTGTACGTTACGTAACACGCGCTCAAAACTAATGATCATACTTTTCCACTTGGCTATGACTATTTTATATACCGGTTTCTCAAGCGCGGCAAACAAACTTAAGAAGTATTTTAGTCAAATAATGCTAAGGGGCCATTCACAAAGGATGTCCGGCCAAATAATGGATTTTCAGACCCCCTCCCCCCCCTTGTCCGGCATTGTCCGAATTAGTGACCCCCCTCCATCCGGACATCCGCCATGCCTCGCAAAAAACTCACGCAACCTTGTATATGTCAAGAGTGAAAAACTTTTTTTACTTTTAGAACTTTTTTATAACTATAAATGTGAATATAAAAACATATAAATTATTAATTAAAACAACCAACTGTGTTACTGCAACAACGATATTTAACTATTATTTTGTGTTTCTCAACCGCCAGATGCATTTAAAAGGGTTGCTAACTGTGTAAACTACGGAATAAAGCTAAAACAAATTAATTTTTTGGGAGGAACGCCAAAAAGCCAAAAGGTTTTAGGTTTTGAACATTTTTCATCGCAAATACGCGACATGGAAAAAGATTGCCTCTTAAAGGTGATCTATAGTCCGATCTGCGTATGTGCACAAAGGAGCCCACTTTTTATGATACAAACAGTTTAACTATGTTTTGGGTTCTTGCAAAGCCTGATTGTTGTTTCTTGATCATTTATTATACTCTAGAAGCTTGAAAATATAAATAGTTGTCGAATAAAGCTCAATATTTTGGACGCAAAAATGTAAACAAAGGCTTTGTATATCACCTTTAATATATCTATAAGAAATCCAAAGACAACTCTAAGGGCCTGTTCATATGAGCCCGGTTAACCGGGCTGGCCCGCTTTGCTGGGCTAGCCCGCTTTGCTTTCACATGAGGCGGGCTAGCCCGGCAATCATATCTATTCATAGTAACGATTTCCCGCGATATTTTAGCGGGAAAGTAAAATTCGTGTTTACTCAGTAAATTCGTATTTTTGTCGACGGCAACAGCTTCAGGAGGTTTAATTTTGATAAATTCCTATAGTTTTGAACTTTTAGACTGTTTATAAGCGAAATAAAGCACCCAAATTCCCAGCCCTGCTTGCCGGGCTAGCCCGGTTGTGCATTCATATGAGCCCGGCAAGCCGGGATCTCGCCTCGCTCAAGCGAGATCCCGGCAAACCGGGCTGGCCCGCTTCTCATATGAACCGAATCTTAAATTAATATAAAAACAATATGTGAGGCGGGATCTCGGCACTTGACAACCAGCCCGGTTAACCGGGCTCATATGAACAGGCCCTAACCCATTTATCTGACACTCTTCTCTAATACAGACTCCTCTCTCTAATAACAGACACCTCTCCCTAATACAGACTCCTCTTTAATACAAACTCCTCTCTAATACAGACCCCTCTCTCCAACACAGACACTTCTCTAATGCAGACTGCGCTCTCTAATAACAGACACCTCTCTCTAATACAGACTCCTCTCTAATACAGACCTCTCTCTCCAATACAGACACTTCTCTAATACAGATACCTCTCTCTAATACAGACACTTCTCTAATGCAGACACTTCTCTAATACAGACTCCTCTCTCTAATACAGACTCCTCTCTCTAATAACAGACACCTCTCTCTAACACAGACTCCTCTCTAATACAGACTCCTCTGAATACGATATATGAATGGATATACAACCATTCGCTTTCGACTTGTATATCTGATACAACACGGTTGCTCATGCTGTATATACTACATTGAACCTACCAATATATCATCCATTGTGGAGAGTCTTCAGTCGCCCCTGCAGGTTCTTGAGATGAGAGAATTTCAGAGTTTGGAAATGTAGGACTGTACCCCTCTCTGTCGAGTCATCACATCTCAAATAAGCCCTCTAT